GAGTAAAGAAGAAGATTTTTAAAGATTGCACTAATTTTAATGGTTTTGGCCCCAGGTCCCAGGAATTATGAAATTCACATTTTTCCCCTTCACCCTAGATGCTATGTGCCAAAATTGGTTGAAATTGGTTCAGCGGTTTTAGAGAAGAAGCTGAAAATGTTCAAATGTTAACGCACGACGCACGACGAACGACGAACGACGACGGACGAAAACGGATAGCAATAGGTCACCTGAGTTTACTCAGGTGACCTAATTAACCTTGGCAATTAACTTTTGAACACGAAATACTAGGGATTACTTATTTCACATGTGCATTCCTTGTGACAAGACTTTTTTCTGATACCAACAATTTGAACCCTTTGACCTTGACCTTTGAGTTTGACATATATTTGAGAAACTTCAATCTTCGCCATAGGCTTCCATACAGGGACATCAGTGGTTTCACAAACACATCTTGTCATCATTATTATTTGGTGGTGTCTCCATATGAGGGAAAAATTCCCGAGAGAGATGTATTCACAACAAACAAACAAGTTACTAAAGAAAATATAAAATATGAATATGTTGGTCATGCATATCTCTGCATGAAAAAAGAGCTTTTCAATATTAATCATTGTAACCCTTTCAAAACACTCATTTGAGCTTTTCTGGTTTCCTTATCATATAATGTCTGTCGTGACATGTCGTCCATCTGTTTGTCTGAAAACTTTTTACATTTTTAACTAGTGTTGTTACGATAGTCGCCAACTATCGAAAAATCGTCGTTTAAACAGTCCAGTCCAATACGAAAATTTGTAATTTTACGAAAAAACGTAAGATTACGAGAAAGCGTAATATTACAAGTTATCGTAATATAAAACTTATATTACGATTTTTCGTAATGTATTTAAATTACGAATATGCGTAATATAGCAGATTTAAGAGACTATATTACGAGTTTTCGTAATCCAAGACAAATTCAAGCATTGCAAGAAATTGAGTGGCGGGTAGCAAAGTATGGCGTTTAATACGAGATGTCACGGGCGATAACTTGTACGACGCTTACTGAGATTTGAAATTCTGTGTGTTTTTATACGAATTGCACGAACAGTTGAATTATGAAACGAGGGTGTGATTTTTAGGGTAGACTTCGGAAGAAAAGTAGGGAGTTCGGGTGATATAGACCAATGTTACATGCTTGTGCGAATATTGAAATTTACTGAAAAATTGGTCTTATCCGTGGGAAAATTCCTATAAAAGAATAATAAAAGAAATTGTCCACTCACCCATCGCTGGCGATACTTTCTTCTTGAATTTCCATGCTTTCTGATAGGCGTAACTGACCAATCTGACCGCCTGCTATCATAAGCCGTGGAATCTGATATATAACTGACGTCATACTTTGCTACCCACCACTCAATTCTTGCAATGCTTGAATTTGTCTTGGATTACGCAAACTCGTAATATAGTTTCTTACAATCTACTATATTACGCGTATTCGTAAATTAACTACATTACGAAAAATCGTAATATAAGTTTTATATTACGAAAACTTGTAATATTACGAATTTTCGTATTGGACTGGACTGTTAAAGGCCCAAGATCGGCGACAATCGGTGTAAATATTATCATCGATAGATCGCTATATTTTAAGTGTACCGCATATTTTAAGCCGATCCGTTTAACTTTTATATTCACCAAAGGGACGTCACTCTAATCGGCGGTAAACAAAATGGCGAACGTGCATGGGTGAAGAGGTTGACGCCTAATTATATCAATATCCTGGTGCAACACGATCTAAAGTTTGAAATTTTTTGGCTTTCTGAAAAAAGGGCGATGGGCCTCCATGCAAAAATAATATGTAATGGACCCGGTTATTTGTTAATTGTGTCAAATGTCGTATGCCAATAAAGATAAGTTGAAGCTCGCGGTCAAATGTCATGGAATTCTACTCGTGCTGAATTAATAAATTTAACCTTTTTAATAGTTCAAATTATCGATTATATAATCGATTGTGTTCTTCCGATTCAATTTGATAATCGATAGTAAAATATGTCCGATTTTACAACACTATTTTTAACTTCTCTAGAACCACTGGGCCAATTTTACCCATGCAATTCATATAGAAATATGTACATTTGTATGTCAGACTGTCCTTCTGTCTGAATAAAATTAACTTTGGTCATCACGGTCATATCTACTGAATGAGAAGAGACAAGGCATTCATATTAAACTTATGTACTAGTATTTACCTGTGAGAATGGCATGGTTTTTTTTTTTACATATGACCTAGAAGTTTGACCTACTTGCAAAAAAATTAAATTGTTATAAATTCATCATTTTGAAAGAGAAAAATTAGGGCATTCATATTATAATGCATGTATATTATTACCTGTGATAAGACCTTTCCAAATGAATCATGACTTTTACTCTGTGACCTTGACCTTGAAGCCTAACCTACTTTTCAAAAATGTTGCATTTGCTTATAACTTTTGATTGAGATGAGATATGACTCTCACATTTGACATGTACATTAATTACTCATAAAAATTCAAGGTGTTTCCCAGCATGTGATGCTTTTTTACCCTTTAACGTTGATGTTTTACATAATTTTCAAAATATTTAACTCTCCTAAAAGATGATTAGGCTTCTGAGTAACATTAAGGAGGACTTCAGGAAAGACAGGACTTTTTGCACAAAAAACGTCATTTTTCCACCCCCATTTGACCCCCCGGGGCAAAATCAAAATTACGAAACCTTACTGCACATCCACATGACACCACCAACCATCTCCCAAAAGATGATTAGGCTACTGTGTAAAATGTAGGAGAATTTCAAGGAAAACAGGAACTTTTTCTTAAAAACGTAGATTTTTTTACCCCTATTTGACCCCCTGGGGCAAAATCAGAATTCCAAAACCTTAATGCACATCTACATGACAGCACCAACCATCTCCCAAAAGGTGATTAGGCTGCTGAGTAAAATGTAAAAGGAGTTCAGGGAAGACGGGACTTTTGCATAAAAAAACATCATTTTTCAACCCACATTTGACTCCCC